CTCTGTTTTTTCTCAATAAAGCACAGCAATGAAAACAGACCCTAAGTTCAAACCTAAAAATGGCTGTTGACATGGCATAGATTAGTGACAAGGGACCTTCCAAGAATACAGACCAAACATATTATATACAATAATAGAGAAATAAAAGTCCTAGAACTTGCAGTCCTCAGCAGATGGATGGCACCACAACTTACTGCTAGCATTCACTATGTGCCGTGACCATTCCGGCATTCAGCCTCATCCATCAAGGATTGATTCTGGCTTCCTTCTACCACTGGCAAGGCACAGATACCAAAGGATCATGATGGAGAATAACAAGTACAAAATTTCTTGCCCTTAAGGAAGTTCTAACCAGGCATTTTGCTACGGTTAAGGAGAGGGACAATAATGTGGAAATGAAAGTTCATATGTGTCAACACTAAAAGGATAGTGTGTTCTAATCAACTCTTGAAAAGGAAAGAAAGAAGACAGCACATTCTACACTAAAAATCACAAATGAGCCAAAAGCCTACTCTGTGCATGAGGATAGTTCTTCCCTTTCCACTAAGGACAGAGATAAAAAGAATGGACCAGAAGTGCACAGGACGCGTTCACCAGGAGAAATGAGCCCTTAGGGAGAACTTCGCACTTCTTCCTGTGCATATTGGGAATAATTTTGATGGAGATCTTTCTGGTATTAGAAGTAGAATAAGTAAAATACAAAGTCCTTTCCAAGTTGGTAATTCATAATAAAATGACCCCTCTTTGCCAAGGACTAAATTCTAGTGAAAACTGAAAGAAAGCAAAATAAAAACTCAGCATTCTGATATACTTTCTCCCTTTAATCAGCTCATAATTGTAATTAGTGACATGGGTACCTAACATTTTGTACAGTGCTCCTAAACAAAAAAATCACATTACATTATGAAGCCTTAGTTACACATACGTGGCCATGAAGATTTATGGAGGCTGAATTATGAAGATTATGGCTTTTAATGCAATATCCAGAATAAAAACAGGATGCTGAAAAATCTCTATAAATTATAAGGAATTGAAAGGCAAAATATTCCATTTCAAAATCACAGAATAAACTTGATACTAGATTGTGCTGATCTAGACTATTATAAGATTTCTAAAGGTTTTTTGGTTTTTTTTACTGTATTTAGAACTAAAGCTTGTTTGTTTTTCCCTAAGGGGTCATTCTCACATGGTTTTTCTATACTCCTTGCAACCCTCCCTCCAACTCCCTAAGGGCACTTCTAAAAACTATTGCCAGGTATGTTTTATGACAGTTGAAAGCAAAACATACTAATAACATAAGTGTTTTGGAATAAGTCTAAAAGTATGTTATGAGTTTAATTTTTTTAATTAGTAAACATTAGAATGAGTTACGTAGAAATAAATGTATATGGATCCCTACTTCATAAATTTCATGTAACAGACTTTCAAATTCAAGGAATCCCCAAGTTAACGTGTTCAGTCCAATGACTGCGCACCCTTCGCAGCAGAGACAATGACAGTCATCTCAGATTGCCACGTGTCCCTCTTCTTCCTGAGTGCCCAGGTAGGCTGCACTTTTCCAGCTCCATTCATTTCAGAGAGGCCATGAGACTGAGCTCTCGTCAAGCGAGTGTAGATGGAAGTGATGTGCCCACTTCCTTCCTCTACTTTTTGCACCATATTCTATGTTCCATCACATCCCTTGTCTCACAGTTGGATGTAGAAGATGCAGTGGAAGATTCTACAAGACAAGACAACATGACGACGAACCACTAATGGGTACAAGATTTCTGTCTGGGGTGATGACTATGTTCTAAAATTGATAGTAATAATAGTTGCACAACTCTGTGAACATAAAAAAACCACTAAAGTACACAATGTAAAAGGGTGAATTATATGATGTGCAAATTATATCACAATAAAGTTGTTTTTTTAAGGCAAAACAAGAACAAAAAACAATGGAGCCACTAGCTGGAAAGAGCCTGGATCCCTGAATCACCACGTGGAAGGTAGTTATACATAATGTAAGCAAGGAATGAACTTTCTATTATGGTAAGACATTGGGTTTGAGAGGATTGTATGTTATAATCTTTTTTTTAATTCTTTTTTCTTCCTGCTGTTCTGAATGAATACTTTTTTCATCCTTATGTTCCAAATCATTGATTTGATTCTCAGCTTCATCCCTTCCACTGTTGGTTCTCTCTAGACTTTTCCTATTTCACTTAATGTAAACTTCATTTCTGCCTGGGTCTTTTTTTATGCTGTTGAAGTACCCAACAAGTTCCTGAAGCATCCTGATAACAAGTGTGTTTGAACTCTGCATTTGATGGGTTGCTTAGCTCCATTTCATTTAGTTATTTTCCTGGAGTTTTGTTCTATTTTTCATTTGGGCCACATTTCTTTGTCTCCTCATTTTGGCAGCCTCACGGTGTTTGTTTCTGTGTATTAGGTAGAGCTGCTTGGACTCCCTGTCTTAGTAGTGTGGCACATTGTAGGAGAGCACACCTGTAAGTTGTATGGGGTGGGGCCTTAGGTAAGCACCAGGATGGAGCAATCCATGTCACTGTTCTTTGGCTCTGTGTTGGGGAAAGCTCAGAGAGGGAACAATGCCACTGCCTGGTCTCTGGAGCTTTTTTCAGGAAAAAGCAGTCTTCCACTCCCCTCATGACAGCCACTCCACTTTCTCCCTGTATGCCGCTAGTACCCTTCCAGCTGCTGCCCTGGGGCTGAATTCCAGAAGGAGTAGATCTGCATAAATCTTAAGTCCATTGTGGGCCCCTTAAGAGGAGCCTCCTGTGAGTCCCACAGTTTCTTCAGCCACCCCAACTCCCACTGGTTTTTACAGCCAGAAGTATGGGGGCTTAACCTCCTGGCGCTGGACCCCTGGGCTGGGTGCTCCAGTTTGGGGCTGGGATCCCTGGTTCTCAAGGTATCCTTTTCTGATTTTTATCTACCACACATAGATGTGGGACCTATGTTCACAGAGGTGTAAAGATTCCACACCTTCACACCTCTCTGCACCTCTCCACCTCTCTCTCCAGGAATCTCTGCCCCTCTTAACCCATCTAGATGAATGTGACTTTTTAAAATCCTTGGTTGTTGGACTTCCGCACAACTCAATTTTCTGACATTTCTGCATAATGTCTGTTTTGTAGTTTAGTCGTAATTTTTTCTGTAGTTGTGCGAGGAGGCAAGGCATGGTTACCTACACCTCCATCTTGCCTGGAAGTCACAGATATGATTTCTAGCCACCTCCCCAGAGTGACAAGCATTCCATCACAAATCCCAAATGTTGACTTGTTCCCACCGTCATCAAGTTTCAATATTTATTACTGATAGGATTCAGAAAATGCAGAAATAAGAGAATGAATTTTTATAGCAACATTTTGCTTCTAGGGCAAACTTCCCACCTGGACATTTCCTGACTAGTATGGTGCATAGGGAAATGTTTTACATAGGGAAGTAAGAATTTATATGAAACCTGGTATTGGGATTTAGGCTCTGAGTCTGGCAGCACAGGTAAATATGATGAGACTCTCATCATATAAATGTAACTATACCAAATCAGAGCATCTGATTTAACCCAGATTCAAACAATAAACACACTGACAGGTAACACTTACACAGCCCTGTGTGCCAGGGCCTGCCTCATGAGTTTATATAGATTTGTTAACTTAAGCCTTCAGTAACCACTACACCGCTCCACCTCTCCAAAAACGTCAAGAGCAAAACTAGCTGTGGGAAATCTGGAACTAAGTCACAGAGGCAGAAGGGGCTCCTCCAAGGCAGATCTGCGAGAAAGAACAGCCCCTGGCCAGAGTTTAGTGTACGAAATGCCTACCATATGCTTAGCACACTGGGCTAGACATCATGGGAAGCCCGGGTGCTTACTATCACTGTAGACAATGCTAGGTTTGCAAGCACAATACCACAGGAATACCTCATTTCTCTTAAGTACTTTCCTACAATTTGAATATGTATGCTGATACCTGGAGCCTTATTTCTCAGAGTGGGAAATACCAGATGACTGTTCATTAGATTATAACCATGAATTTTCCAGTTCTTCAAATATAATTAATTCTACTAATTGCTACAACTAACCTAGACTTTTAAAAAAGAACAAACAACACAAAGAAGAAGAAGAGAACAATAGTCCGAGCTGGATGGCTCAGTTGGTTAGAGCATAGTCCAGTACACCAGAAGGTTGCAGGTTCAATCCTTAGGTAGGGCACATATCTAGGTTGGAGTCTGACCCCAGGTGGGGGTGTGTACAAGAGACAACCAATTGTTATTTTGCTCTATTCCCCCCACCCCTGCTCTAAAATCAATAAAAACATACCCTTAAGTGAGGAATAAGAAAAAAAGAAAGAAATTGAACACCTTCCCCGCTTACTGGTGCTGGGTCCTGTCCTCCCCTTCCTTCCTTCTCATCAGCCCCTTCTCTGAGGCGGGCACAATAAAGCTCAGTGAAGAGATACCCACCTGCCTCGTCGGCACCACCAGTGCCCGCTGTGCGAGAGCCTGGCACGTGGCAGGTGCCCAGGGATCTGTTGAATAAGTCAAGGAATGAATGAGGACGAAAGTGAACAGGAGGGGCATCGGTTCAGTGGAGAGGGAGCCTTCCTCGTGTCTAGTTTCACAAGACCTGGTCTTGCCACCACTTTTTCCTGATGAAACCATTCCAGAGAAGAGTTTTGGCTACCTTCTATTTTTGCCACTGCTGTCTCCGACACATACTACACCAGATGGGCACAGGCATGTGGCCCAAGAGGCCCTGTTTCCTCTGCCCTCCTTCCACTGACACGTGTTACTCACGTGTTAATACCCCACTAACGGAGAAACCGTCAGGTCACAATCCTCAGAGAGAGCGGTAAGTACTGTCAGGGACCCCCATCCACCACAGAGATGGTAATCACCCGATGCCACTGCAAATCTCTTTCTTTTTCCTTTTGAGTAGCAAAAGAGAAGGAAGGCACTCTAACATAGATTTCGGTTCTTGGATTGGTATGATTAACACTTACTAGAAAAGCAGCACTTGGCTTCTGTACTGAAGCCTCTCTGTGCCTGTGTGTGCTCTGAGGCTCCCCAGTGGACATTTCGTGTGTTCAGGGTTTGTTGGGTTTTGATGGCACTTTATTCTAGAAATAACTAGAATCACACACACATGATTTCTTAGCAAGAGGAACTTGGTAGAGATAAGCTTTGGGGGGTTTCTGGTGTGTGAGAGTTACAGCCAATAAACAAAGCAAGATGGAAACTGCAGTTTCCGGGATACACGGTGGGTGGCAGTGATAATTAGTAATGCAAACACAGAGTGGCACCCTCTGTGGCTTTTGCCTGTGGTCTGAACGTGCTGCTGCTGCAGCACCTGTAGGGACACAATTCCCACCCCCGCCCCAATAGGCCCTCTGTGTCCGAGGGGATGGATGGAGTGCCGATGCAGAGGAATGCCAGCCCTGCGGGGAGGACAGCCCGGTGACCGCGCCCCACAGCCTCGCCCTGGGAGGCTGACCCGATCCATGACGCCCAGGCAGGACTGGTTTCTGGAGAGTCGAAAATTTGGGAGGCTCAAAGCCTCTGTGGAAATTTACCTCCGCACTGCCCATACCAGACCAGTTTCTCCACTAAGAAAAACCCCTCTCTCTGCTTCTCTGATGTTAGAAGGCAAAGTATGAACTGGAAACATGATTCCTTTCAAAGGGAACAGAGAGAGCCGTGCTAGGGTACTACAGAAGCAGAGCATTAACAGGTGTTTAAATGAGCTTCCACTGGGCCACACAGAGTATTTCTCCAGTTCCCTCCAGCATTAAAGGGACCACACTGCAGTTTGCTTTCTAATACTTTGAGAACATTAAACTGCATACATTGGCGGCGGCTTCCCCGTACTGCTTGCTGCCCCAGAGAGAGCAACATCCCCTCCTATTCCTTTTTTTTTTTTTTTTTTTTTTGTCCAAAAGATACTTAGCTGTGCTGGAATAGGTTTCTTTCTTTGCTTCCCTTGGGAGTAGATGGGGGTGGAAAGGGGCGGGAGTGGGCGAGTGAGGCAGTGGGCCTGGGACCGAGGAGTCGCCGTGAGGATGCTGGCAAGAAAGAGAAAGCATGTGCCTTAGGCGGAGGTCTCCAGGGGGAGAGAACTGTCCATCAGTTCCCCCCTTGGCGAGATATTCAACAAGAAATAGAATTGCCTGGTTCCACGGGTTTCTCTGGGCCTAGTGAGTGCCAGTCACCACTTTTACTATGCTCTCTATGGGAATATTCGCCTTGTGTTACAATTAATCAATTCACAGAAAACTTTTGTAGCATGACCCCTTAAGTGGGTACCTTAAGTGGGTACATTCTAAAGATAAAATGATTTTTAAAGCAACTTCTTCCACTGACTGGGTATGCGGGAGACGTCAAGGAAGTCCCACTGGTATATTTTGAGGTGCGGGACAGCATCAAGGTTCTACTGAAGGTGGGGACCGCTTGTCCTTTGGAAACGGACACTGAGGCGTCTGTAGAAGAAATGATGTCATTTGCACCAGGTCGCAGGAGTGGGAGGGACCTGCCACCAGGCAGTGGAGGTGGGGGAAGTGTGAGTCAGGGTTATTTGGCAGGGTGGGTACATGAGGTTCACTGTGCTCTTCTGTCTACTCTTGAGTATGTTTCAAACTCTCCATTAAAAAAAAGTAAAAAAAAAATAGTCAAAAAATACTTCTCCCATCCCATTTTTTAAAGTCCTGATCAACGTTGTAGCTGGGTCTTAGAGAAACCTTTTATGAGAATACAGAAAGACATTCGCCATTACGGGCTGGTGAAAAGTGGGGCTGTGCGTGTCCGGGCTGTTCGCAGGGCCGTGGCCGCCCTGGGTGCAGACGAAGAAACAGTCCCCGATGTCGACACAACTGCTCTCAAAGGTCACCTGTGCACAGCCTGTTGCACCCATTGATCTCCACAATTAATTACAGGATTACCGACCCTGCTCAAGTCAGGAGTTATTTAGCATTTGCATTTCATAATTAGGTAAGTGGAGCACTGAGGTTAAACCAACTGACCAAAGACAAATGAAGGTACAGAACTCCAGGCTGCGGAGCCCCACTCTTTATTGGCCATCCCAGCTGGGGGCCATGATTAAACTATTTATCCCCCCCCCTTAGTCTGCTATCTAGTAAAACTAATACTCTAGTAAAAACTAATCCAAGTTGCAGAATATGTGGACATTCCAAGAGATGCCCCTCAATGCCAAACACAAGATCCCCACAGCCCAAGAGCCGAGCCACTCCCTGTGAGCCCCCCAGCACCTGCAGCGGGGGCGCATCTGTTTAATTCTGTCTCCCTTTACCCCTTCGCCTCCCTCCCAGTGGTGCAGAGATACCACATCACACCACCTTGGCAACAACCAGTCCTGGAAGGCTTTCGAGGAACTTGTGGGAGTTACTGTAGTAACTCCACTGAGTACATCTGAAAGCTCCATATTACCAAGCACAAGCTTTTAAGTGGATTCAGAAAGAGATGTGACTTTCATCATCTGTTCACCAAGGGAGGTAACGTTAGTTCAAACAATAAGAAATTGCCATTGCTATAAGTCAAAAGTGATCAAGTGCTGGTGATCTCAATGGCTTAATTTAACACACTGTGCACATTTAGCCCATTTTAGTCCTCCTCAAATACCTCCCACAGTCTGAAACAGAAGCCGCCTGTACTTTCTCTAACTTCTACATATCATCAGTGTAGTTACTACTAGTGAGACCGTGTTGGGACTCCTGATGTCCACAGCAGAAGGGCCGCCTCAAAGTCATGGGCGGGCCCCTGTGGGTGCTGTCGCCACCCACACCCAGCACAGTCAGACCTTGACCGATATTCACTACGGGCATTCCAGGAAAGTGCTGGAGTTTGAATCAGATTTAACACAACTGAATTAAAACATCAGACAGTTAACCCGGAATAACAGCAATTATTTTCAATCATATACTATTTTAATTGTCAAAGTGGTGTTTCCCTGCTGCAGGGTTCACGGATGTCATGATCATGAGCTTCCCAATCTGTAAACTTTTCATTCCTCATTATGAAAGGAAGCAGGTCACCCCAAACAGTTTATGACCCAAAGCAAAAAAGCCTTATACTGTATAGACAGGACGTTAAACGAAGTCAGGAATCAACGCAGACATCCTCACACCTCTCTTCGCTTCCCTACACCTCCTAACCCCTTCAGCTCCTTCGGTCCACATTTGTATAGTATCTGCTCTTGTTCTCAGAAACTTCCAGCTGATGGGGAAGAGATGACTCCTTACTGGGCACGGGGGAAAGTTCATTATTGAACAACATGCAGTGAGACACAAAGGCAGAAGCAGTTCATTCTTGCACAAGAATTCCCAGAAGGCTGCATCTAGAGCTACCTCTTTCAGCTGAGCCTTGACTCATGAAAGGGTTTGCCCAGCAAAGAAAGAAGAAATGAGAACACTGTTTGTAAAGGCGTGTAGTTACAAAATAGCACAGCAGGCTTGGGGACTGCAGTGTGACAGTGTTCAGGGACACAGGTGGAAGAAGCAGGAGAGGAGACTGGGAGGGTGGGATGGGACCAGATTATGAAGAGCTCTGAATGTAATGCTAAGGGGCTGCATTTGATCTCAAGGCAATGAGGAACCTTGGCCTTTGATAATTATATGTGGGCATGCAAGGGCCCAGGCTGTTAAAACAGAAAGCTGAGCCTGGCTCTGTTACTTGGTATGTATTATTTTTTAGAGGAAGAAAAATCAGGTAGCTTTTTTAAAATAAAAATAAAAGGACAAACCTTTTTACTTTGTTTTGCCTATCTCATTATCTCATTAGACTAAGAACCAACAGGACTCTAATCAAAGTTTACTGCTTAAAATCAAAGACTCTGGAGCCAGAATACCTGAGTTCAACCCGGCTCTGCCTCTTATTCACTGTGTCTCCTTGGACGAATTACTTAACCTCTCTGTGCTTCAGTTTCTTTAGCTATACAATGGGATAAATGCTAGCACCACAACTTCATTACTTTGTTATAGGAATTAAAAGTCTATCCATGTTAAGCTCTCAGAACAAGGAGGACAAATGGTAAGGGCGTGATAACTTTAACTATCAATGTTATTTTTCAAATAGTATTAGTCCTTAGGGAAAGTAAAAGCAAAAGCCACTAGTTTTGTTTAAGAAAAGATCCTCACACCTACCTTCCATATGCCAGGAAAGATCTTATAATTGATGTCAAATTTGACCCGTCTTACAAAATAAAAAGGCATAAATGAGATTCTTCCTTGGACCATGACAAAATCATTTCCCTAAAGTTACAGGAGGCCATTAGAGAGATGGCCAGTATCTGCCGACATCCACTCTTTTCAACACCAACAAAACAATGAACCTTTACTTCACGGGTCTTATAATTCTGTTTTGAAAAAGGACGGTTATTGCTTCATGTGACTGTACTATTTTTACCCTTTGGGGCTGTTATTTCAGCTGTCATACAGTATGAAACCAATACTGAATCAGCAAGTGACTATATTAGCACTTCCTTTTTACATTAAAAACAGTTGATCGCTGGTAACACAACCTTAACACAAAGAGCAGAGAGCACGTTTAGTTAAAAGTTTCTCTTCCTCTCAAGCATAGTGATAATATTAAACAGACACACTTTTCCCAGTTTGTTACACTTTCTTGAGGCTTCATGTACTAGTAAATATAAAGACTAGTGGAAGCCTGGTGGTATGTATATATACAGTTTAGCCAGGCAAAAAGTATCACAAAATTAGCCAGAAGCAGCATATTGTAAGCGATGAGTGCAGGCTTGAGCGTCAGACAGCCTAGGCTGGGTCCCTGGCTGTGCCATGTACTGGCTCAATAACCTTGAAGGAGCCACGTGGCCTCTCTGTCCTTCAGTTTCCTCATCTATAAAATAGGGATGTAAACCCCACGTACCTTACAAAGTTAAGAAGATTAGAGTTAATACTTGCAAAGCACTTAAGACCATACAGGAGATGTGAGAAGCACTACAGAAGTAGGTGGTACATTTAAAACAATCAAAAAAGCCTGCATAGGTCCCCAAGCCCTCTTTCCTAAACTCAGAAGGCAATCCTGATTTTCACTGTGCAAAAGGGGGTGCATTCAGGATGACCAGGAAATGATCAAAAGAATATGTTTTCTTCTGTCCCTGTTTGTGAAGCAGGAATACAGAAGAGTTTGTAATATTCTCTCTGCATAAAATGACCCAGCAGGACAGGCCTTTTCTCCATCTACCACAGATAAAGAAACTGAGACTCAGAGAGTTTTAGCAACTGCCCAATGTCGTAGCCAATAAATGATGGATCCAGCATTCAAAGCAGATCTTTCTGGCTTCAAACCACATCTTCCTCAGGAAAATGCAGTCCACAGGATAAATGGACTAGATGTGATTATCTCAAATTTATTTCTCTAGTCCCTCCTTCTCACTTGTGCCAGATCCTGCATCTCTGACTACCTAGCAAGACATCTCTCCTTATGTCTTGCACTTCCATCTCTTCAACAGGATTCGAAATAAAGCTACCATATCCGTCCTTAAACCTGGATCTGGATCAGCCATTCAGCAATCATTATGATTTACCAGAGGTCAACTACTGGGCTAAGTGATGCTTTTACTTGCCTCAAGAAGCTCATAGATGAGAGAGAAAGAGAGAGACTGAAAAAAATGGCTGCACTAATAATTTATTAAGTAGAGATACGTGGTACAAAGTAAAAGCGTAAGATGATATTAC